GTTCGTAAGAGAGTACTATATGATGAACCACGACGTGACCTTATAGATCTCACCTATGCTTATTGCTGCTGAATCAACAATGGTTTGGCGCAATAGAAAAGCAAAGTTGATTGGTGAATCTGCCTTCAAGACCTCTATGGATATAGACAATGGCAATGAAAGACATGCAATGATCGAAAAGTTTGATCATAAGAGAAAGGCGATGTCTGAAGTAGTTCCATGTGTTGTTCCAAAGAGTCAATTTGCTTTTATTGCCAAGAGAAGGGGCATTGGAGACGAAGTTGCCCTATTTACCTAAGAGATCTAAGAGATGGGAGAGTCAAAAGTATGACTACGCTTTAGGTAAGAATCCACTATCTAACTCCATTAAGTTCCTATTCATTGATTCTTAATACATGATGTGATAAGATTGCATTTGAATGTTTTGAAGGATCGGTGAAAAGAAAGGAAGCTTGATAAGAGAGCAAGATGAATCTAATCACAAGAGATGGATCTCGATCTCATGGACTTGAAGATTGGATTTTGAGCTTAGATAGTTATGATAGAGTTGTTAGAAATTTTCTTTTACATAGTTTTCAATAGATTTTGCATTGTAAGGACAAATGTTTTTCCGCTGCTTTTATAAATAAAATAAATTTTGTTTGACTTATTTGTTTACTTCCTTGCAATGAAATCGTTATGAAAATTGATGTTTGCATATTTCTACAACGAATGGATATGATTCTTAGTTATGTTATTTATGGAAATGTCAAGAATTTACCAAATAGGGAGAGTTTCTCATCGCCCAAGTTTCAATTGGACAGAAACTTGGAATCATGCAACTTGGTTGCACGATGAATGAGAAATTTCATATTTTGGAAATTAGACTAATTCATTGACAAAGTGTCAAGTGAAGGACTAGGAGATCGAGTACACAAAGTTGTGTGTTGATCAAGTTCACCATAAGAGTAACAAAGATATTCGTCATGATTTACTAAAGGCTTAGTAAATATGATTACACTTACAAGATTAAGTGTAATTTTGAATTGATTAAAGGGTTTAGATCAATAGCAAAACGAATAAGAAGAATCAAGTAGGCAGAAAGATAAGAGTTTCTCCATTCTAAGAAGAAGGGAGAGTAGCTTTTATGCTTTATGATAGGTCTTAATGATTAAGAACCATATCTCAATTGATCCTCTAAGTGAGTCTTGGTACAATTGTATGTCCAAGAAGAGGAATCAAAGATTGAAGAAATGGTCAAATCAAGAAGTCAATCATACTTCGTTCCAAAACAAGTCTTAAAGTCAAGATTGTGACATTGAGTGAATAGTATTAAAAGGTTTATAACATTCATCAATGTGGAAAGTTGTGATGTCTTGGATAAGACAAAGACCAACTAAGACCAATTTATGAAGTGTTTTGATAAAAGCTACACTAACTCTTGAATATTTGTTTGTCAAGAAATGTTTATTGACAAAGAATCTTATATGTCAAGGAGTCAGTGGGAGTCTTAATGGTCTTGAAAGTTTTTCAATCAAATAAACAATCAAATAAACCTTATCGATCATCACTAGCACACGAGTTGAGGTTTACAACCTATCGTGAAGACATTATTTTGTTTCTGTGCCAATCCAATCGAGTTAATTATGCATGTGAGTCCTATGAGTTCTCATTTGAATGCATAAAAGGCAAGGACCTTGATCAATGGAAAGTACATTGATAGGAAAAGGTGAGCTGCTTAACTACTTGGAAGACGTGGTGGGCAGCTGTGCTACCATAAGGCAAGAAATCAAGATTAAGAAAGTTCGATCCATATGAGTTTGAATTTGTCGTAAACTTTGGTTTTAACAAATTCACATGGATAGGAACACATACACCGTTTAAATCTAAGTGTCATAAGATTTCCTCCTTCATGAAAATGATTGTGAGAAAATGCTTTCACTAAGAAAGATTTTAAAAGATAGTGATTGTAAAATTGCATTCTCGAATTCGATCATGGTTACGGCATCCCTTTCCATAATTTGAATTGTGAGGTTTGGCAATTAAGTCTTAATTGTTAAGACACACATATGAACTATCTAAGGCAAAGTGTATAAGTTCAAGAAGCCTTGATAAAAGATTATCAAAGCACTAAGTATTAGAAACATGAACTTAAGAAATTCAATAAGTATTGTTTTTCTGAAAGTTAAGATGTTTATGAATACATGTCGAAGCTAGTGGGAGCATAAGTGTTATGTTTTATAATAATCATCATGATAGTGGGAGCATAAATGTTATGATTGTATGATTATTAAGGCACGTATTGCATAGTTGGCAATATTAATTATAGAAAACAAGAGTCATACTTTGCAAAGTTGTAAGAGTTGAAAGGTTGTTTTGCTATAATTAAGGGAGAGAATATTATGCTTCATTTCAAATCTAAAGGATTAGGTTGTGGAAATGTTAATAAATTTAGTCAAAGGTACATAGTGTGTTCTTAAAGTTTCGATTATGATTACGGCATTCCTCTTCACAATTCGAATTTTGAGAACATAGCAAATAAAACATTGTGCGTCGTGTCCCATACGCTTCGGTATAGGATCGATTGCAAATGCTTTAATGTTTGACCATTCTAAAATTTTCCAAATGTCTAGTGCATTTAGAGGGAAAAGGGACTAGAATCGGTTTTGACTAAAATAATTAAACAACTATCAAAGGACAATCCAAAGTTCGACGAGGATTGGTCGCTTGTGAGTAGTTGGAAGCATGGTATTAATGGACCATATTGACATTATGATGAATAGAAAAGATTCTATTAAGAAATGAGTTGTCATATGGAAAGTATGGAAATGTATCTATATTGGGAAGTAAATATTGAAAATCTAGATTAAAACCTTTTATGCAAAAGGATGTTCAAAGGAATGTACTTTGAGTGAGAGACATCATATCTAAGGAATTGTCTTGTAACAATCTACGTTAGAGGACTTTGTAATATCATTGGCAATAGTCTTTGAGACTTTGGTGCAGTGACATTACAAAAGGATCGTTGCATAAAGTGTTAGAATCTAGTATATTCTATAAGTAACAAGAATTTGATATTCTTACACTTAAGAAAATGGATTTGGAGTTGTAAAATGAGAATGATTGGAAACGTGTTCAATTTGTCTATTTCACAAAAGTAAGAACCATAGGTAAACATTGTGTGCATGCTAGGAGCATGGGACAAGTGTTGGAATTCAAGTAAAAGTTGATTACCCGAAACGACAAATAATGAGTAATCGATATGGTGATAAATAAAACGTGTTTTGTTTATACTCAAAGGTTTGAGGCCATATGGGATTAGTATTATTCTTGTGTTTCACTTTGCATGTTTTGACTTCCAGAATAATTGAGTTTATTAAGAATAATCGAATTATTCAAACGGGCCACAGTCGTTCATATGTTGGAAGTAGATATGAATGAAGACTGTCGTGAATTGGTGTGTGGATTGTCTAGAAGAGTATTAGACATAAGCAAATGTTTGCTGCAACGTTCATGAGTGCTTATGAATATGATTTGAGCATTGGATTAAACCCACGCTCACTTGGATCACTCCATGAATTGTATTACGAGTGATTAGTGAGACGATAACATCTTATATTCTTGAAACCGAGATGTGTGAGTTGTATCTTGCGAATCGGTTGCACATTGATAATATGTAAACACACTAGTAACTTGGTGTTATAAAACATATTGTTGTGTGTGATTCGGTGAGTGAGTGCAAGCAAGCATTGTATCAAAGTTTATCCGTTCCTTTTATCAAAGTAATAAAAGCGATATCTTTGGGCCCCTCGATGGTTTAGTGATGACATACGTAAATGCTCGGCCGGGCTAGGGCTAATTTGATTTGTTCAATTAGTCTGTCGTCATAAATCGGAAATCGAGATATAGTACAAAGAGAATGATTAGAAATCATATCTCATACGATATCTAGAATGGAGGAATATATGATCCCTTATCTAAGGACACGCGTATCTGATATGATCAGAGTTGACAGCGGCTTTGGAAAGCTACGATTGCAGATCAGGATCTGAAGTCATACGCATAGAATAGTTGTTAGACTTATCCAAGTGGGAGACTGTTGGATTAGTGTCTAAGTCCATAACTATTTTGGTATGTACTTGACCCGATGGTGCATGGTCCTTTTGGGTTGCCTTCACCAAAGCAACTTGATTGGAGAAATGAATAAAGAGAGAGAGGATAATATGATTTATTAATATGTTATAAGAATAATATATTAAAGGAGAAATCATATTTGTTTAATTAATATTGGTCAATAATTAATTAAGAATTAGTTTTGTGATCAAATGTAATTAATTAAACTAGAGGGGCTGATTTGTAATTATGTGATAGTTACAAAATAAGGTAAGGATTATCTTATTTATATGGTGGAACGAATTTAAGGTTGGAAAGCCTTAGAATTCGAGTATGATAAGGATTCAAGGATTATCTTATTGGTTGCTTAATGGATAATCAACTAGATAAGGATAATGACTGAAACCCTATCTCTACACCTATATAAACACCCCTAGGGTCATGAATTCGTGTATCCCTTCCCAAGAGGTCCTAGATACGAATTCTAACCTCTCACCTCTCTCTTTATACCTTCTCCATTTGCTTATGGTGTTTGTAAGCCATTAGAGGAGTGACACTTGTGACTCTAAGCATTCCAAAGTCAATCCAAGGTGGAGTTGTGATTGTTATTGCTATATAACAATCAAGGTATGTTCTTAAACCTAATTATATGTTAATGTCGATTTCCATATGTTAGAATTAGGGTTTATAGTCTTGGATTCAAAGCACGTACAATAGAGAAACCTAGATCCAAGCATGAGGGTTTGTATGGGCACATAGGATGTCTTATGACCAAAACCCATCAGATACAAGGTTCTAGGTCAGATGTAAATAGTAATTGGTTTATAAAAACTTACAACCACGAACATAAATGCCTCCAGACAAGAAAAGTTAGATCTGCAACAGCAAAGTTTATCTCTAAGCAGATAATGGACCAGATTGAATCCAACCCAACAATCCCAGTCAGAGCTCTTCAAGAACAACTTCAAAAGGATTATCAAGTTGGATTCTCTATTCACAAGGTATTCAAGGTCAAATCAACTGCAAAAAAACTTGTCCAGGGTGATTACAAAAAGCAATATGATGTTCTTAGAGATTACATCATGGAGTTGCAGTCTACTAATCCAGAAACCACTGTGAAGTTAGAGTTTGATTCAGAACCCAACCTAAGTGCTACCTCAATAAGGTTTAAAAGGATGTACGTGTGTTTGGGTGGAATGAAAAAGGGCTTTAGAGCTTGCCTGAGGGATTTTCTAGGTTTTGATGGGACATTTATGAAGGGCCCTTTCCCAGGACAAATTTTAACTGCAGTTGGGGTAGACTCCAACAATGGAATATACCCCCTAGCTTATGCCATTGTTGAGACTGAGAACACTGACAATTAGAAGTGGTTTCTAGAGTGTATTGCAGATGATCTGGACCTATATGCAAACTCAAACTTCACATTTATAAGTGAAAGACAAAAGGTTTGTAATTTGTTGTTTATATTTGACATATTTGGATGTGCTATATTAACTATGTTTTAATTCCTTTACAGGGATTGCAGACTACCATTTCTCAGTTGTTCCCATGGGCTGAGCACAAGTTTTGCCTTAGGAATATACATGACAATATGAGAAAAACATGGAGAACTAATGAGTACAAAGAACACTTGTGGAATTGTGCTATAGCAACAACAGTACCAGAGTTCAATCATAGGATGCATTAATTCAGCTCATATGATGTAGAAGCTTATAATTGGTTGAAGCAGATTCCCCCACAACATTGGGCAAGAAGCCACTTCACAGGTATATACTTCAACTTCCAAATTTACCCTTTTGTGTTGGTATATGTTTGATCCTTTTGTATTAGTATATGTTTGATCCTGACAATATTGTGGTGTTTTCAGGCAGAGTAGTTTCAGATATGCTTCTGAATAATCTTTGTGAAGTTTTTAATAGCAAATTGATTGAGGGAAGGGACAAGCCACTGATATCCTGCTTGGAGTACATTAGGGAGTATATGATGAAAAGAATATGTAATTTCATAAAGGTTCAAAAGAAGTGTGTTGGTCCACTAACCCCATCTGCAACAAAGATCATGGAGAAGAATGTGAATTGGGCATCTCAGTACACAGTTAGGTGGAATGGGTCAGATAAATACCAAGTGCAAGGGCCATGGCAGGATCAACATGTTGTTGATATGGTTGAAAGAGTATGCAATTGTAGGAAGTGGGAATTAACAGGACTCCCTTGTAAGCATGTCATTGCAGTCCTAAATGACAAAGCAGATAATGGTGATGAAGTTGGAGAACTGCACACTTATGCCCACAGGGTGCACTGGCTAGAAACATGGAAAACAGCTTATGTGTACAAGGTAGAGCCTATTAAAGGTCGAGCAATGTGGCCTATAAGTGAATGCCCAATTAAAATCACCCCTCCTATACACAAAAATCAGCCTGGAAGGCCAAAGAAAAAGATGAGGCACTCTGCTGAGGAGAAAAGCCAGAAGAAGGGAGACAATGTTGCTAGTGGTAGTGGGAGTCAAAGCAATATTGCTAGTAGGAGTGGAAAGCTTACAAGAAAGTTTATCCAAGTAACCTGCAGCAAGTGTAAAATTAAAGGGACAACGCTAGAACTTGCAAAGGCCAAGGGGGTAAGTGATTGGATTTCAAGGGATTTTGATGTTTGTAGGGGTATAAGTGTCTTTTTGGGATAATGTTATGTTATGTGTATTGTATGTTTAGTACTTCTGTGTTTTGGGGTTTAACCCTTTTGGTTGTTACTTTTGTACTTGATAGTGTACCCCTGTGATGTATGGGAACAATTTACACTGGATTTGATGTAATGATGTCTTGATGTTATTGTAATGTATAATTTTTTGTTGTAGAAGTTTGACCGGTATACCCTTTTAAACAAAACATACATTTGTCATTGATAATGTGTAAACCACATACAAAATAAATTGACCAATATGCCCTTTTAATCAAAAACATACATTTGTCCATATACAAAATAAATAGACCAATATGCCCTTTTAAACAAAACCACAAGACAAAACTGCACACATGGTCCTGTGGTTTACACAAAATTGCCCAATATAAATTGACCAATATGCCCTTTTAATCAAAACATACATTTTGTCCATATACAAAATAAATAGACCAATATGCCTTTTAAACAAAACCACAAGACAAAAACTGCACACATGGTCTGTTGGTTACACAAAATTGCCCAATATAAATTGACCAATAATGCCCTTTTAAACAAAAACATTACATTTTTCATTGATAATGTGTAAACCACATACAAAATAATAGACCAATATGCCCTTTTAATCAAAACATACATTTTCATTGATAATGTGTAAACCATATACAAAATAAATAGACCAATATGCCCTTTTAAACAAAACCACAAGACAAAACTGCACACATGGTCCTGTGTTTACACAAAATTGCCCAATATAAATTGACTAATATGCCCTTTTTAAACAAACCACAAACAAAATAAATTGGTCAATATGTACATACCAAATATAATCACCATTGACAAATTCCTTGCAAAACATGTCTTACATTGCTTACATTATAACCAAAAAAGACTACCACAAAGTATTGCCCAAAAGATTACATTGCTTAAACAAGATACTACCAAAAACCTTAAAACACTACCCAAACCATTACATTTCATATACTGCTTAGAAACCAGCCAAACCATTACACTTACAAACCACCCAAACCATTACACTTCAATCTACTTCTTATAAACCAGAACAAACACGAACAACACCCAACTGCATAACAGGTAACACTTGAGTCTTGTGTTTTGTGACTTCAATTTGTTGATTGACCTCAGCAGCCTAGGTATAATAGCTTGAACGTTCACAAATTGGACATCAAACCACCCAATAAATCGACATTTGGATCCCTTCAAAATTTAAGAATCAAAAGAAGATCGTAACATGTAATGGGAGATTTATACTGAAATCCAAAAAAAAATGCGTACCTCAGTAGGGCATCCCTAGAAGCGTCTACCTGGATTTTTATCAGTCCATGCTGTGCGAACTATGGCCATTTTACCACAAAAACAAAGCACCATTTTTTATTTTGATTTCTTGAAGAAATCGATCGTAGAGTTGAGAAGACCAAAATGAGAACGATGACAAAGAAGATGGATTGGGATTCGTTCTTATACTCTCCTTTATTAATATAAAATAAAGGGCATAAATAGGAATGACCAAAATACCCCTGATTTGACTAGTCAAACATAACTTAACAGAGGGAAACAGACGGAAGTTAACCCATTGGACCAAATATGCAATAAATGGAAACTTTGGACTTGTTGGTGCTAGCCAAAACTTTTTTGGACCAAAGT